TTTTTCCCGAAGACCTTGTTAGTTTGCCACCTCACCAAGAGATAGAGTTCTCTATTGATTTAGTGCCCGGCACGGCGCCGATTTCTATGGCACCTTATCGTTTTGCCCCAGCAGAGTTGGTTAAGTTGAAAGTTCAACTCCAGGAATTGCTAGATAAGGGCTTTGTTCGCCCTAGTGTTTCGCCGTGGGGAGCACCAGCCCTCTTTGCTAAAAAGAAAGATGGTGCCTTGAGATTGTGTATAGACTACCGGAAGTTGAATCGGGCTACGGTCAAGAATAAGTACCCTATGCCCCGTATAGATGATTTGTTTGACTAGTTGAAGGGTTCCCGTTGTTTCTCTAAGGTAGACTTGAGATCGGGTTACCACCAGTTGAGGGTCAGGGAGGAGGATGTTCCTAAGACGGCATTCCGTACGCGGTATGGCCATTATGAGTTTCTGGTGATGCCATTTGGGCTCACCAATGCGCCGGCAGTCTTTATGGACTTGATGAACCTTGTTTTCCGGGAGTTCTTAGACCGATTTGTGGTCGTCTTTGTGGACGACATCCTTATCTATTCGCCTTCAGAGGAGGAGCACGAGGAACACTTGAGAGTGGTGCTTGAGTTGCTTAGAGCCCATAGGCTGTATGCCAAGTTTGGGAAGTGTGAGTTCTGGCTGAGGGAAGTCAAATTCTAAGGCCACGTGGTATCCGGGGAAGGGGTGTCTGTTGATACATCCAAGGTTGAGGTAGTGCAAGATTGGGCACAGCCTAAGAGTGTGTTTGAGATCCACAGTTTTCTGGGATTGGCTAGGTATTACCGTCAGTTTGTGAAAGATTTCTCTAGGTTAGCGTCACCGTTGACTAGACTGACTCGGAAGGGAGTCAAGTTTGTGTGGAGTGAGACTTGTGAAAAGTCGTTCCAAGAGCTGAAAGTTAGATTGACCACCGCTCCGGTGTTGATTATTCCGGAGAGAGGGTTGGGTTATGCGGTTTATTGTGATGCCTCACGAGAGGGTTTGGGTTGCGTGTTGATGCAAGAAGGGAAAGTGGTAGTTTATGGCTCACGTCAGTTGAAAATACACGAGAAAAATTACCCCACACACGACCTAGAGTTAGCAGCTGTGATCTTTGCCTTGAAAATCTGGAGGCACTACCTTTATGGTGAGAGGTTCGAGGTATTCTCGGATCATAAGAGTTTGAAGTATCTGTTTACACAGAAAGACTTGAATTTGAGGCAGAGGAGATGGATGGAGTTCATCGAGGATTATGACTTTGAGTTGCACTATCATCCGGGAAAGGCCAATGTTGTGGCCGAACATGCCTATTGGCACCAGAGTTTGCCCACTACCCTTCCACAGATTGAACCATCAACATATCTGTAATCATAGACACAAATAGTTTCTCGGTAACATTAGCCTGTGGTCAAGACTGTTGTTTTCGAAATTTGCAAGTTCGAGCAATATGTCTACTTTTGCCACACACAAAACATATCACATTTGTCAGATCTTGTGAATGGGGTTCTTGATTCCATTTCTTTTGCCTCAGGTAGTTTTTATTTTGTGGCCTTCTAGTATTTTTCCAGATTTTCCTAACTGGCTTCAAGTGACTATTTTTATGAAATCGACCTTTAGGTAAAGTATTTTCAGAATTTAAATTTACCTTTGCAGTGGAATGATCTTGTGTCATAAGTGCATCTTGTCTTCGTGCATCCTCCTCCAGTCGAATCCGTGTGATTAGAGTTTCCAAGGATGTCTCTTTTTGCTTGTGACGCATTGACTTATGGAACTCCCTCTAAGATGATGGTAGTTTGTCAATAATACATGTCACAACAAGATTGTCTCTAATTTTGATGTTTTCGGATCTAACTTTAGCCACTAGCATCTAAAAGTCTTGTACTTGCTCCACCATTGATTTTCCATCTATCATCTGATAGCGGAAAAAGCAGCTTGCTGCATACTTTTTAGCGCATGTCTCTTCAGTGTCATATTTATTCTGCAAAGCTTTCCAGATTTTCTTGACAGTAGTGTAAGTAGTATCATAATAATCATAAAATTAATCTGAAAGACAATTTAAAAGATAATATGGACATTTATACTCATCTGTGTTGTATTTCTTGATTTTTTCAAGATAAGCAGCATACTCCTCGTCGGTCATCTCTTCAGTGGGGACTTTGTTCGGATTTTTCTTGGTCAGGATATAGGCCACCTTGAGGAGCCTGGCAAAATGAGAAGGGCAGTATACCTCAGCTATACACTTATAAGCTCGAGGGTTTAAAGTGCCAATGAACAGCTCCCTCGGTAGCAAAATAGAAGCCCACATATCTTTGTGGGGTAGGGTGGAGCACTCATTGGCGGTGTTTGGCAAACAAAGGCTCAGGCTATTATAGCCTCTTTTCAAAAAAAAGCCAAAAAGCGTGAACAGTGCACGCGTTTGTTCAGCTAGGTTAGAAACGGGGTGGAATTATCATTTTACCCTTTGACTATTTCAAAGGGTATGGGTTACACACTGCTGAAACACGAGTGCCCTATTCTCATCTCTTTTGTTCCATCTCTCACACCGACTGTAGCAACACCAGTTCGCTAGTGATCTCTCTCCGGCAGACCTACCTCCGGCAGAGCTCTGCCTTCTACAGAACACGACGGACGAAGAACTACGACAGGTAAATCATCTGAACCGCTTATACATGTGTTGCTGACCTTTGTCGACTCGATTTGAAACTTTTTCCATTCCGATCTACAAGATTTTCATCTGTTTTGGCCCATAGTTATGGTATTCGGTGGCTATTTACGCCGATCTGGTGATGATCCGTCTTTCCCCAAATATAAATCGCCGACAACAAATTTTTTTTTTTTTTTTTCTCGCCTTAGTTAAATGGGTCATAACAACCGAATACGATTGTGTTCAGCTACACTTTTTTCCCCTGTGATTTCCATAATTACCATTCACAATCCGAATGATGTTTGCTTACGTTTGGATTTTGTTTTTTTTTTTTTTTTTCAAAACGATTTTTTTCATAATTATCATTCACAATCCAGTTTTTCCCATTTTTTCCCCAGTTTGTCGAACTGAAATGATGTAATCTCATTCACAATCCATAATCATCATTCACAATCCACTGTGTTTTTTCTCATTTTTTTTCTGCCCATCCGTGTTTGTTCATCATATATGAGATGGATCAAAATTTTCATAATAATAGTCAATCTGTGTTTATGAGATGGAGCAAAACAAATTTCTGTCAACCCGTTCAATTAATCTGAATTAATCTGAATTCAATGCTCTGTAAAATTTCTGCAATTTAGTCTGTTCGATAATGGTTTTAATAAGTTTTTCAACTGGTTTGTTGGTGTCAACTATTTGGAGGGATTTGCATCAAAACAAAAAGAATCAGGAACTAGAGCAGTAGGTTGACATTTTCTTGAATATTAAATAGATGTTGGTAATTGATAATCATATAATTCCTGCATGGATTGAAAGGACAATTCAATTAAAATATCACTATCCAAAATATTGTTATAGACATTTACAGTGGGGGTTATAGGCCCTAATGTCTCCTGTTATTGAAAAGTATGATCATGGAGCTCCTCTCTTTTCTGTTAATTCCTACGACTCCATGACCAAATTTCATGAGGACACTTGGATAGAGACCCTTTAGCAGTAATGATATGAGGCCTTTAGCAGTAATGGAATCCTCCATTATACCCGTCTTAAGTCACTTTCCTACATGATACATGTAGCCCAAGACATGAAAAGTTTAGTGAAAACCAAGACATGAAAAACATACAGTTATTAGAATTGGTAATACGACTCCATGACCAAATTTCATGAGGACACTTGGATAGAGACCCTTTAGCAGTAATGATATGAGGTGAAATTGTCTGTTTGAATCCTCCATTATACCCGTCTTAAGTCACTTTCCTACATGATACATGTAGCCCAAGACATGAAAAGTTTAGTGAAAACCAAGACATGAAAAACATACAGTTATTAGAATTGGTAATGCACCCATTTCCATGGCCCAGTTCATGTTCTTGGAATACATTTGTAGTTTACAATTTATAATTTATAAATACATAATTTCTTGGTATGTATTGGTTGAGTGGTTCATTTAAGAGTTTGTTATGTTTCATATTCAAATAATTGTGAAAATACTCTAATTTATGTCATAGCTCTTAATATAAATGACAGTAACATAGGTGATATGTATTGCTTGAGTGGTTCATTTACGAGTTAAAATGATATTGTCGGACTACGCCAAACTTTAGATGACGCATGTTTGTTTGGCTACAATCACATCATGAAACTTATAATTATACTACAGATGAACCTATATTATCTGTAAAGTGTACTAGATAAATTTTAAAAAGCACTATTTTCACTAAATATTTGTTAGTAAGAAACAGCGGATGGCTTCATCTATGTCCACTAGCACGTCAACATGGCCACGACGAATGTGTGCTTGCGGCTATGGCCATTGTTTTGTTAAGATTTCCAGATCCCACAAAAATCCTGGTCGTGCATATTATGTTTGTCCTCGGCCTGTGGTGAGTTGTGTAAAATATGTTATTTGAATCTCCATTGATTGGCAATATTGAACTTCCTTAGCTAACCACAGTTATGTTTGTTGGTCATCAGCAATGTGTAAACTGGATTGGTTGGTGTGATGAATCAGGGAGACCGAGCCCCGACCATGACTCATCCCCAACCGAAGTCATGCAGTTACGGGCAGACATCGCGCAAATTTTTAATGCATTGCGTGTCATGAAAACTATTATTTCTATGTTGTGCATAACGGTTATCATATTACTACTGCACATGTAAAACGTTGTAATTTTCGTGTATGTACGTTGGATGCTTGTTTAACTGGTAACTGAAGTAACAAAACTGAACTACTGTACATGCAACTTCCTATTACTAGTTATTTTTCCTTATGATATTTGATGCGGGAAGTTTTTGTCTATTTTCCGTTTCTAACTTATTTATGTAACATGTGTACACTACCTTGTACCGTAATTAGTTCAATGTCGGCAACACGCTCCTCCCCTCGAACACCGTCCAAACATAAAGGTGTTGGACAGTTGCCTACTGAAGGGTTGCCTGATTACATTGATCTTTCACATAAAGCAACTTGGGATAATGTATCAACCGAAATTTTCTTAGAGTGTGTGCGGGAGCAAATTTTAGCGGGACGTAGGCTAGGTACAACTATCACAGTTGCCGAGTATAAGGAAATTGCAGTGCAATTTGCTAAGCGCACAGTGAGACGTCATGACATGAAGCAGTTCAAGAACAAGTACCTTGCTTTGAAAAAGGAGTGGCAGGCTTGGAATAAATTGATGGACACCAGTAGGGTGTAACTGGGATTGGGTTCGACAGGTCAACCGGGTTGTTCACCGCGTCAGACGAATGGTGGGAAAATTTGAAATCGGTATGTAATGGAATATCTATACTGCTACTGTATTGTTCAAGTATATTCGTAATTAATTTGGTTGTTTGTTACTTTACAACTTTAATTTGGGTTTCCAATTTTTATTATTCTCATTTGCAGACAAACAAGCTAGCGTACAAATTCAAGAGCAAGCCATTGGAACATGAAGATTTGATGCGGGAAGTTTTCACAGGTGCAACCGCGACTGGGAAACATCATTGGACGCCCGGCGAGACTGTTGTGGACATTGCGGACGGTGAATCCGATTTTGCTGACTCACCTGGGTTGCAGCCATTTACTACGCCATATCAGCCGGTTGTCGACTCACCACCACCCTCCCCCATTGTCCAGGTAGATGAAACGGAGCAAGGGTCAAAGCGCAAAAAGGGGGCTAGTTCAAGTGGAAAGTCTAAGAAACCGTCCAGTGGCGCATCTGTGCTTGCAGACAGTTTCAACCATCTATCCGAGGCTATTCATTCACAGAAGCACTTTACGATCAGGCATGGAACTGGTGCCTCTCAGAAGTATGGCATTGAGGCATGCATGCAGAGGATTATGGCTATACCCGACTTTCTCAGTACGCCTCTTTTCCACTTTGCCTGCATTGCTTTGGAGAATGCAGATTACCGTGAGATACTAATGTGCATGCCTGATGATGGTAATGTGGTCGGTTGGCTTGCAGCGTTGAAGGCCTCCAAAGGACTGTGATAACTGTGGTTTGTTGTTTTTGGGGAAAATGGAAACCATTGTGGGTGTTTGTGGACATGACTTGTGCTGTTTTGTTTATTTATTTTTGCTTTTTGGTAGCTTCGATTATTAGTACTGTTAGTTAATATTAATGTTTTTGGGTGAACGGATGCGGACCAAATATGGAACATTTTATGCAGTATTGCTTCATCGAAGCGTGGTTTGTGTTGACTATACCATCATTCGTATCTACAATTGTTCAATTTCATTGACTGCATTATTCTTTATGGTTTGTAGGAAAATGTGGATGTATGCATAGGTGGTGCCATGCTTTTTTATTTTGTGCATTACTTTAACGAAGGATAAGACTATATGGTCAACGTAATTAATACTGTGTTGTGTGCATTGTAGGGTTCAACACTTTTGATATGTGGAACGGTGAATGTAGCAATCTGTATCGAAATAATGATGATTACTTAATCGAGCAAGCAGAAGAACAAGAGGACCAACAGAATGATGTAATTGTTGACGCGGCGCGACATGCAATGGAATATTACGTAAAGTACATGGACAAGATCCCATGTCGAACTTCAATTTTAACCGGTCGTGCATGGATTCAAGAATTATTTGATGGACACTTGGGCAGGGGTGAAGAAAATTTGTATATGCCTCTTTACGTGTTTAACGCGTTATGTCATACATTACGAAGAGATTTTGGTTTACGGGTACCTAAAAGACCTCATGGGTTACACATTGAAGAAAGTGTTGCCATGTTCATACATACCTTGGCCGGCTACCAAAACCGAAGCATTCAAGAGTGGTTTCAAGGAGAAACGGTTTCTCGACATTTCATGCAGTGTTGGATGCAATGAAGTTGTTCACTGAACATCATTGCAAGCCAACCAGAGCTCAAACTAGTAGGCATCCCAAGTTGCGGTCAAGAGGCAAATACATACCGTTCAAGGTGAGAATGTTGTAATTGTCGTTAACAACACTTGTGTACAATGCGGTGTTCAATTAAATAGTTGTGATGTGTTCTATTATGGCAGAATTGTATAGGTGCGTTGGATGGAACTCACATACAAGCTGTGTTGCCTGTCCGTGATGCGGGCACATATTATGGCCGAAAAGGTTATCCAACCCAAAATATACTAGCTGTATGCGACTTTGACATGTGCTTTATTTTTATTTCTTGCGGCTGGGATGGAAGTATGCATGACAGTCGCATCTTTAAGGAAGTAATTGAAAATCAGCGTGCACCGTTTCCGCACCCACAAGAAGGTAACATATTTCAAATTCAGTACTATTTGGGGTTTATGTCACGTGTATATAATTGGTTTTTTTAATTTATTTTATTTAATTATAGGTAAATATTACCTTGTTGATGCGGGATATCCAAACAAGAAGGGGTACCTGGCACCATTCAAAGGGTCTCGGTATCATCAAGCACAATTTCGGGAACATGGACAACCCGATAACCCGAGAGAAATGTTTAACAAAGCGCATGCGTCACTAAGGAGTGTAGTGAAAAGGACTTTTGGAGTGTGGAAATCTCGGTGGAAGTTCCTGCACAACATGCCGGACTATGATTTCGCGACGGTGCAAGTGCCGTTGGTCGGTGCATCAATGGCCTTACACAATTTCATTCGTAGACACGAGATAGCTGCCTTGGGCAACGACAGACATTATTTTGTTTCATTAGTGCCCGATTACATGCCCGACGTTCACGCCGGCGGACAAAATGTCGATGATGGGCTCATGGTTGGGGATACAGATGTGGATATGGCAAGAGTTCGTGTTCGCATACGCGACCATTTGTTTTACATACGGAGTTTGGGACTAATGTGAATATGCTTTTTTCGATATTTTTTTTATGTTATGGAATGTGACCCACGTAAAGCAATTTTTAAGGTCAATTATCCTCCTTATGGCAAGGTCTCCAAAGAAATTTTTTTCTCTGCCTTCCTTATACTTCCCACTCTCCAGAGAAAATTTCTCTACCCTTCCTCTCCAGAGAAATTTAATAATGTCAAAGGTCTAAGGTCTCTCTAATTAATCCAGAGAAAATTCGACTTCACAGAGAAATTCTGGGACTTTCTAGAGAAAATTTGAAAATTTCTCTAACCAATTGTTTTCTCTGCCTTCTATATACTTCCCACTCTTTGGAGAAATTTGAAAATTTCTCTGGCTTTCCCGACTTTCCTACAAAATTACCTCTCCAGAGAAATTTTAGAAATTTCTCTAGACTCCCTGGCCTTTCTTGGACTCTCCACTTTCTCTCTCTATAACTCCCTTCGGCTGGACTCTCTGGAACACTCCCAAGAGAGCTCGGCGAGCTCTCAAACCTCCAAAGCCTTTATCTCAACGTCAACACACTCTTTGGAACCATCCCTCTCGAGCTCGGCTACAACTCTTCTTTTTCCGACATCGATTTGGGCAGCAATTTGATCAATGGGTCACTCCCCACATCGATCTGGAACCTCTGCGATCGGCTCGTTTCGCTTCGACTATAATTCTAAATATCGGCCGGTACGGTACGTATCGGCCGATTCGTACCGGAAAATCATAGCACCGATTCGGATATTCACTGATATACTGGTGAGAATGAAATTCATAGTCGTAGCATCCGAGTTCCGGTACGCAGCGGAGTGAATCCGATATATGGACCGATACGGGCCGATACAGTCCGATACAGTCTTTGTTTCTGTTGTTGTGCCGCAGCGTGAATATAGTCTCTGTTTTTCTTCTTGATGTGCTCTGTTTCTGGTTTTTTTTTTTTTGTCGATCTAAAGCTGAAGTTGCCTAGGTTTGGTGGGATTCTGGAACTTCCGGTCAACATTTTAAGAGAGAGAGAGAGAGAGAGAGAGAGAGGTGGTTGTATTATGTATGGAAGTCTGAGATTGAAGTGGATATACATGGAGGTGCGTTGGGAGTCTGAGATTGAGATGGGTAAGAAAAGAGAGATACTTGGGTACATGGAGGTGCATGGGTTTATGGTGGATTTGTAGATTCAAATATAAGTTTTTTTTTTTTACACCTACACCTGATTGGCAATTAAAAAATAAAATAAAAAATAAATTTATTTTTTTCTCAGTCCAAGAAAAAATAAATATTCAAATCAATTTTTTTATTAAAAGTTTATCATATGCCAAAAATAAATACATATCATTTAGTTGAAAATAAGTCAAAAATGTTCCTACATAACGAAATTTTGATTAAAATGTAACGAATTAAAGTTAAAAGAGTAAAAAAAAATGCATAAAATTTAGTTTTAGAGGGATTGCTAGTGATTTTTAAAATTTCACGGTCGCAGCACTCGATTCCCGATACGTACCGGCTGATATTACCGATACCGATACTCCACGATCGATACCGTTACGTTAGCCGATACCGCGATTTAGAACTATGGCTTCGACTGCCTGTCTTCGAGCTACTTGCCAGCGAAGATCAACCTCTGCTGGTCTGGTGGGATAGCCTCCTTATCCTGGATCTTAGCCTTGACACTGTCAATGGTATCAGAACTACAAGCAAGAAGAATATCGTAGAGTCAGCGAAGCTCAACCTCTGCGGTTCATTTATGCTTTCAAGTTCAATTCCTGTGAGTATAAGGGAAGGAGAAGACCAGAGCTCGAACTCACGAAAGGGATGGCGGTGATGGTGGTTAGTCCGCGACACTGCAGCAACGGAGGTAGAGAGAGAGAAAGAGAGAGAGAGAGATATGTAACAGTGAATGGGAGACACAACGGTCGAGAATGAGATGTGCAAAGGTCGAGAACGAGAACAAAGAAGAAAGAAGACAGAGCGGGAGTGAAGGACTTTAGACATCATAAAATAATATTGTGGATCTCTTCCATTATTAAAAATAAAAGAGAGACCTTAGACTAATTTCCCCAAAATATTATAAAAGATCATAATTTAACACCACTTGAAATATAATTAAACATCAATGCACGACTTTAGATATAACCAAAATAATAAGAAATTAACAAAGACATTTTCGATTAATAACCAAAATAATACACCATGTGTTATACCTAAGTTATAATTTATATGTTATAGAATTTTCAGTTGTTTTTTATTTTTTTCTTAGAAAAGCCTAATTTTGACTAAGTAAAATTCATGATTGTTGGTAAATGTGATTAATACAAATGAGGATTTGATTTCAAATTGACAATACACAATTTTTTTTTTTTCTTTTTTAAACTTTGAAAGAAATTGTTTTTATCAGCTTATTTTACATAAGATCATATACAATAACAAAAATTTTCATCAGCTATTAACAAATTTATTTATATTTAACTTTTAATTGTTAAAATTTTTTACACATAAAATATTAAGATTCAAAATTAATTTTTTATTTTAAAAATAAATTCTATTACAAATAGAATTCTTGTAGATATTAGCAAACATAAAGGGATTGTAAATACTTATCATTTTATCCAAACATTTAAAAAAAAAAAAAATTGTACATAAATGGCTCAATTTCAAAACTTCACCTTAGGCACCGAATATCTCAGCCCTCTCAATGTTGCCGTCTTTTTACTTATTTGTAAGATGGTATTTGAAATCATTTAAATAAATAAATAAATATATATATTTTTTAAATTTTTTTACCAAAAAGTATATCAAAAAAATAATGAGATAAAATAACTCAAAAATAGAACAAAATAAAAAGATAAAAAATATATCCTAATATAAAGGATGCCAAATAATGCTTAATTTAATGTTTAGGGGTTACTTGAAATGACCTAAATAAGTGTATTTTTTGTCTTTTTACGAAAAAATGTGCAGAAAAATAAAGAAGTGATGTGATGAAAAAAAATAAAAAAATAAAAAAATGAATTATTTTGGTGTTGCCAAACTTGACCTTAGCAGGATATTCTTTTTAGGAGGTGGACAAGAGAGAGGGAGTTGTTCTGGTCCATAAGACCCGTCACAAATTCTATTTTGATAATTTAAATTGTTTATTTTGTCAAGTACTTCATGCATATAATTCATACAAAAAATTAGACCAATTCAAT